CCCCAAGACATCCTGCCGCGAGTCGAGGTCGCGAACTCGGAGCCCCATCTCCTCATTGAAAGCTTCCTGTCGAACAGCCAGTGCACGAACCGTTTTGGCCGTGCCCTCATGTATGTTGTGCCCCATCTTGGTGATAGCCTCGGCGACCGAGGCATGGACCGACTGGGTGATGTCGGCGCGCAGGGTGCTGAGGATGTCATCCAGGTCGCAGCGTCGCAGCACCCGCACGTCTTGGGCAACAGGCGTACCAGGAGTAGGCCCAGGAGAGCCAGTGCCAGTAGGAGTCCCAGCCTCAGCCGCCGCAGCGGCCCCCCCCGCCCGAGGGGAGCCGGCCGCTGCGCTGCCAGCCTGGCGCCACGGGCCAGCCTCGATGAGTGCATCCACACGACTGGCTTTGCTGCTCGGCTCCTCCGTCTGGTCGCCGATGACGTGGTGCCTGAGCTTCGACGCTGAGGCCGCACCAGCACTGCCTCGACCGCCGCCCTTCCCACCACCCAGACGGCCGCCACTAGCACCACTGTGCTGAGAAGAGTCTCCAGCGCCATCAAGCATCGACGTGGATGTACGGAGTTCTGGCAAAGATGTGAGGGATGAAACCTCAATTGCCCCCGTAGGGGATGTAAGAAGTAGATGCGCACGAAACCGAAACACAGACACAGGCGAAGCGAAGTGGAGAGTGGCCTCAAAGCGGAACCTCCCTCGCGCTCAGACGTCGCCCCGAAAGACTCGCGGTCGTCGGGACGGTTCATGCCCTTGAGCCAAAATGGCTACGGTTATACATATATATACACACACATCATATATGCGTACCACTGTCACGAAGAAAGCGTTTCTGGAACGCTTGCTTTGACACAAATCATTTGACACGTTGGAATCAAGGGGGGGCAGAAGCATTGACCGCCTTAGGAAGAACGAGGGTGTGGCCCCCACGTAGACACGGGCATCGTTCAACAAGGGAGGGGGGCCCAGGTGGGCGGGTCGAACCAGGAGGGGGCCCCAAACCCCTGAGTTGCAACAGGGAGGATCGAACAGAACGGGGGAGGGGGGAGGGGCCTTGTCCAAAGGAGGGGTTCAAACTGGGGGGGGCCCTCTGAACCGCAAAAAGGGGGGAGTCGAACAAGAAGGGGGCCAACCCCCTGACTTGCAACGGCGGGGGGTCGGACGAATGGAGGTGCCCCCCCTTGTGCAGGGGGGGGGCTCAAACTGGGAAGGGGGGCCCCCACCCCCCTCCGAATGAAATCCCAGTAAATAAGGCTCGATCTTACTTTAAAAAGTCGTTCGCTCGCTCGCTCGAGCAAGCGAGCGAAAGCCGGCCGGGTCGGATCGGGTGGGCGGGACATCCAAATGTACGGTGTTCGTTTGATCGCGCGCTTGCTCGCCCTGTGGAGCAAACGTGCGAGCGAGTGAGCGAGTCGGGTGCTTCCATGTGGGCGCGCGGGTCATTAAATGCATGGTATTCGCTTGGTCGTCGCTCGCGAATTGGAATAAGCATGCGAGCGAGAGAGTCGGGCTAATCGGACTGGGCGAGCGGGGCATTAATGCATGGTGTTCGTTTGCTCGCTCGCCCGCTGGAACAAGCGAGAGAGCGAGCCAGGAGAGGAGGGGATCCTCTCGGTCGGCCGCTTGCTGAAGCAATGAGGGTCGGTTCGAGCGGGCGGGGCATTAAATGCACGGTGCTCGCTTGCTCGCCCGCTCGCTCGACCGGTCGGGCGTGCAAGCGAATCGGGCGGGTCGGGCTGGGCGGGCGATACATTAAAGACATGGTGCTCGCATGCTCGCTCGCTCGCCCGAGCAAGCGAGCGAAAGAGCTAGGGAACGACGGGGTCAGTCCCCTCGCTCGCTCGCTCGCTCGCTTGCTGGAGCGAGCGAGCGTGCGAAAGTGGGTGGTATATAATGTTCGATCCAGCTCAAATTAAAAAAGTCCTAGTATAGCGAGATTCGGCTCTACTTAAACCCTACGAGGGCTCGATCCAGCTCTAATAAAGAATTCCTCTAGCTGTCAGCTTGCGATTAACAAATCCGTGGGGGGCGCGTGTTTATCTAAAGCTTTCCGTGCTCGGGCGAATCGCGGGGGTCGCGACCGCCAAATGGAAACACAACGGCGGCGGCTCCGGTGATTAGCGCCGACGCCCGGCCACCAGTGAGAAGGCGACAGAAACAGCACAGACTGCGGGAGCGGGGTGGCGACGGGAGGCAAGGGCGGCAGAAGCAGGGACCGTGAGCCAGGGCGACAGCTGTTCGAAATGAAGAAGAACTGCTGTACTAGGGATCGTTCCTCGTCGTCAGCGTCGTCGTCAGCGTCGTCGTCCTCGTCGTCCCCGTCGCCTTCGTCGTCGGCGTCACTGTCATCCTCGTCGTCGTCGTCGTCGTCTTCTTCGGCGTCGTCGTGTCGTCGCTGCCCGACCGCGACGGCACCTACGCCGGCGCCGGCGCTCGCCGTCGTTGCTTGCAGGAATTTAGGCAGGGAACCACCCGCCTTGAGAGATAGGGGCACCCCCCTGGTTCGAACCCCGCCCCCCCTTGCAATTCAGGTGGAGTGGGCCCACCCTCCCAGCTCGAACCCCTCCCCCCCGCCACCGCCACCTGGTTCGAACCCCCTCCCCCCTTGCAATTCTGGGGAGGGGCCCCCCTGGTTCGAACCCCCCCCCTTCCCAGCGTCCACATAACGCGCTCTTTCGACTGTCAATACAACTGTCGATTCAAGCTTCTACCGTCTCACTGTAAACACACATCTACCAGAACCAGCATATCGATCAGTTTCGCGATACATCCGTAACATATTTTTATACGGATATCTCTCACCTATAAATATATAGATATAAATATATATATATATATATATATATACACACACATATACAAACCGCTGTCTGCCTAATGATCACAATACCCATGTAAAGAAGAAAGAACCACGGGACAATCACGGCACAACCACGCGACAACCACGGGCAACAACGCGACAACCACCGAACCACGACGGGACAACCACATGACAACCATGGGACAACCACAGGACAGCCACAAGACACCCGCGAAACAACTGCGGGATAATCACGGGACAACCACGGCAAAATCATGGGACGACCACTGGACAACCACTGGACCAGCATGGGACAACCGCGGGACAGTCGCAGGACAACCACGGGACAATCACGGGGCGAACAACCACAAGACATCCGCGTGACAACCACGGGACAACCATGGGACAATCACTGGACCAGCACGGAACAACCACGGGACAATCGCGGGACAACCATGGGACAACCACTGGACAACCACCGGACAACCACGGGATAACCACGAGGCGAACAACCACAAGACAACCACGTGACAACCACGGAGCAACCACGGAACAACCGCGGGGTAACAGCACCAACAGGACAACCACTAGACAACCGTAGGACAACCTGGTCCTCACCGCCTGGCGGCCAAGGAAGAACAACATGACGACAACCTGCCCTAAGAAGGCTAAGATCTGCCTCGCCCTCGCGCAACTTCGCCTGCCCCGCACGCGCGTCACGCACGACACGATCCAAAACCGAAACAGATTTGCTGGTTGAGGATTCGGTGTACTTCGATCTGACCCCCCAACCTCCGAGCACTCAGTTGCATGCTGCATCGCCACGGTGGCCGAGATTGGCCGAGCAGCTGCACAAGTGCGGATGTGCATGCATGTCGCGCTTCTCTCACGATTTGCAAGAGATGGCCAAGATGCCCACCGCTCCTCTCGCTTGTCCTGCCCCGTGTCTCCCGCCTCCTGTCCCTCACACGAGAACGGCACCCACGCAGCGTGCCATGTGGGACTCCCTCCAGGCCCCACTCCAACGCTGTACAGTGCAGAGTAGTTCGGCTTTCACGGGCCGAAAGGCTGTACACGGCACCATTCATGGGGGATCGACGACGCATCGGGAGACGCTAACGCGGTACGGTGCACACGTGCCGTCTGCGGGCCTTAGGCTCTGCCCCCGTCCTGCTATTAACCCAGGCGAGAGAAGGGGGAGCGGCACCAAGTCAAACCAGCGTGGGGCGGTGCTCTCTGGCCCTTGGCCGCCTCTGGCTGCCGCCCTGGGCTCCCGCGGGAAAGCGGCCAGCAAGTCAAGAGAGCCGAAGAGGCCTCTGACGGGCCCCAAGACGATGCGAGAAGGGGCCCGAAACAAGGTCCAGCATATCTTGCGTATACGTATATATCGATAGTGACGTATATTCTTTATATGCACACACATGTGAAAATGTGTGTGCTTACAGCTTCTCTAGCACACCCATCGTTTGCACGTACATTGTGCGGCGTTTCGTACACTGCGCCTTCGACAATGCTCGATCTCAATTAGCACTTCCATCTGCTGCTCGCGCTTGAGGACCCTCTGCGCCGCTGACTTTGCGTGGCACTGTGCGTGTGTTTGTTTGATTTACACGTCGCCCGCATTGCTCCCAAGATGTCCCTTGAAACCTTCACGGCGGCCCCGAGAGGCCCCAAGAGAGTCCCAAAATGGCCAGCTTGCCCCAAGAGTGGCCTCCAGAGGAGCCTCGTGTTGGGTCCTCGTTTTGATTACGCATCGCCCCGCGTCTCCTTCCTCCTCCTCCTCCTCCTCCTCCTCCTCCTCCTCCTCCTCCTCCCAACATCATCCAGGACAGGAGGTGCCACCCGAGGCTCCAAGATCGCCCCAAGATTGCCCAGGAGAGACCCCGCCCAGCAGCCCCAAGATGGCCAGCAGATCCCTGGAGGTGGCCCAACATGACCCTGATTCAAAAGAGCTCCAAAACTGCACCAAGGTGACACCAAAGCAGCTCGGCACTTCGGAGTATCTGCAAGCTGTCGGCAGGCGTGCTGGAACCACACGATCCCACCACACCTTTTGCCAACATCCCCCGGCCCCAGCAGAGCTTATGCAGCCAGTGGACCACCTCCGCGCGCGGTACCACCTCCACGGGAGTCCTTCCGTGTCCGCCCCCGCCGTCAGCCTCCTGACCACCACCACGACCACCCAAGAGAGCATGCGCTCCTACGCCGCCCTCGAGGGCCATGCCAATGGCCATCCTCGACTCCGTGACCTGGAAGGCGTGGGCAGAGCCAGCTCGGGGCGCGGAGAGATGACCCCCTGAGTGGCAGTGCAGCTGGCCAGCGCGACTGCTAGGACACCTGGTCCCACAGAGTGGAAATGGAAGAGAGGTCCACCTAACGCCTTCAGAATGACTGGGCACATAAGATCCTGGCAACATACGAGACAGCCTTCGTAGGCCACAATCGGACCCTCGAGTATGAGTGGCACACCGGCGCGTCAAACCGAAATCGGCCAACCGAATCCTGGCTGGAGCCTTTCACAACTCGCACGAAGAAGCCCAACGAGTGCCCAGTGGAACCCGCAAGTCTAAAACCCTCCTCGAGTTTCCGGAGGGGGGCGGGACGGACGCACGAAGGATATCACAGGACAGAACAGTGGCAAGTGACGGGCCAACCCGGCGGCCGCACAACAATCGACCCCTGGAGCCGAGCCACGGAAGCGAAGCCATGGCACCCGAATAGTAAACGACTGATGATTGGCGTGCGCGTACGACTCAGACTTTGTCATCAACTCTAGCGCGTAGATGTTTGTTCTCCCATAGCCTTCGCGTTCGCCTTACGTGTAGCTTTACTCGCCGTGTTACTATGCTCTGCACTGCGCACATCAAACGACATGATCTGTACATCGCACTAGCGACATCGAGAAGTAATTCCGTGCAGGTATGCAGAATGAGAGAAGATACCCATAACATGACAACAAAAACAGACACGGGCACATGTAGGAGGAAAAACAGCGCAGGACGAAAAGCGGTTGTTGCACGCATGGCAGCGCACAGGGATAATGAGGTCTCATGTGGCTCCGCGTGTGTCAACGTTCCGCGCTTTGGAGTTCTTTGAGGCGCAGCAAGTGGCGGCAGCTGCACTCTTGGCAACGTTCGACAGTGCTACGGGCCACCCAAGAGCGCATGAAACTGGCGACAGCTGCACGCATGACAGCGCCAAATGCGGGCGAGGTCTAGATGGGGTCCACGCGGGCAGCCTTTCCACTCACCCCCGACGAAAGCAACAAATTCGAGACGGTTGCACGGCTGGCAGCGCCCAGCGAAGCGGGCTTCACTTGTGGTCCGCGTGGGTCTCCGCGTCGCTGGACCTTCCCCTCCCCCCAAGAGAGGAAGGTCAAATTTGGAGTCCGCGTGGGTATCCACTCCGATGAGCCCCTCATGGGCGCAGAAAACTGGATACACCTGCATGATTGGCAATGCCCAGGGAGGGCGAGGTCGTGTTTGGGTCCGCGTGGGTCATCACGCCGCTGCAACCCCGATGGGCGCAACAGTGTTGCGACAGTGGCACAGTTGGCAACCCCCACGGAGGCGAGGTCCAGCTGTGGCCTGCGTGGATCACGACTCCACCCCCCCCCTGGATGGAGCGAGGTGGCGAAAAATGAACTCTTGTCAGCGCCAAGGGGTAAAATGGTCTTGATTGAGCCCGCGTGGGTCATCACTCGGTGGACCCCCCAGGAACGCAGCAGAGTGGCGACAGCTGTGCACTTGCCGGCTCCGAGGAAGGCAGATCCATGCCTGGACCGCGTGGATCACCACTTCGCCGGACGCCCGCATGGGGCACGGCAAAATGGCGACAGTTGCAAGATTGCCAGCGACCATGGAGGGCGAGGTCTATTTGGGGCCCTCGTGGGCCACCACTTCGCTGGACCCCACCACCTATCCCCCCAGGGGCACAGCAACATGGCGCCAGCTGCACGCTTGCCAGCGCCCAGCGGATCAAGGTCTTGCCTGAGCCCACGTGATCACCACCCCGCTCACCTGCAGGAGCGTAACACAGTGGCGACAGCCGAACGCGTTGCAGCGCCACGCTTGGGGTTCGCGTGGGTCACCACCCCGCTAGACCTCCCAGGGGCACAGCAAAGTGGCAACAGTTGCACGTGTGGCAAAGCATATGGTGCGGAAGTCTAGCTGGGGCCAGCATTGGTCACCACGTCGCCCCCCGTTCGGGCCCCCATTGGGTCACCCACGCTGCTGGAACCACCAAGGGGCGCGGCAATGCGGTATCACTTGACCGCTTGGCAGCGCCCAGGGAAGTGAGGCTCACTTTTGGTCCACGTGGGCCTCCACTCCGCTGGACCCCCAGGGGCGCAGCAAAGTGGCGACTGATACGCGGCTGGAAGCGACCAGGAAAGCGAGGTGTAGCTAGGGCCCGCATGTGTAAGCACTCCGCCGGACCACAGGGGCGCAGCAAAGTGACGATAGCTGCTGTCTTGCCAGCGCCCAGGGAAGGCACGGCCTGGTTTGGGGTCCGCCTGGGTCACCATTCCGTCGGACCGACAGCTGCACACTGGCCAGCGCCCAGGAAAGCGAGGTTCCTCACTCCGCAGGACCTGCTGCACGCTTGGCAACACCCAGGGAGAGCGAGGTAGGAGATAGAACCGAGGGATGGAGGCGAAAGGATACTGGAGGAAGCGGGAGAGGAGGCCCAACGGAAAGGAAAATGTGAGCGGCAAAGGTCCATTCAAAACGATGGCACAGCCTCTCAAGGAGGATTAACAATCAAAGAACGGATGGTAACGATCACAAGACGAAAACGTGTCAACCGCCGTCATCATGCACATGTCGGTGCAATTCCACATCATCCCATGATCAACCCAATGCCGATTGTGTGTCTCTCTAAAAAAACTGATGACCGTGTCCATCGGGCTGGACACGATTGGAGTCTTGAGCTTGATCTTCTTGGTGAAGTGACTCTCCAGCGTGACGTCTGCGACCTCAAACGGATTGACTTTCCACTCCCTCGGCTACAGAAAACAGGAAGTAGTAGCATCCTCAATGATCACACCCTGGAAGAATACAGTTGGAAACGGATGGGTGTCAGGGCCCATCGGTACCATTCCGAGCGGTACCAGTGACACGTAAATACGGGACGACTCCAGAAGCTCAGCTGACATCTGCACTGACCTACGGTCGGAAACTCTTGCTTAGCGTGTCGCCGCGTCGGCCCCGGCGACACGCTATGCCCTGCAAGCGGATAGCGAGTCGCTCCGCTCCGCGGTGGGGGTAGTTCGGAAAAACTCGGGACGTGCAGGCTTGGGGGTTAGGAAGTGGATAGCGTGTCGCACCGAAGAGTGAAGCGGAGCAACACGCTATACAGCAGTTCCCGACCGTATAGCTTGGGGCGTTTGCTTCTGCTTCCACGGGTTCCCGCCCACTCCTTCGCAAGCTTCCGCTGTCGGCGCCGCTCTCGACTTCTGCCTCCGTTCCGCCGAGCTCTGCGGACCTCCTCCGGCTGCCGCCCTCCATCCCCCGAGACTGCCCCAGGCAGCGCGGTGGGCGAGCACGCTTTCTCTCATCCGCGGCGAGCTGGGTCCAGCAGGGGTCGACCAGGCGGCGGGGCGCGGCCGAAGCGGAAGTGGGCAGGAGGAGGAGGAGGAGGAGAAGAGCTGGAGGAGGTGGAGGAGGAGGCGGAGGAGGAACGACCTCCAGAGACCTCACGGGACATCCTGGGAGGACACGGAGGAGGTGGAGGGGAAGGCACGAGGACAAGAGGGGGAGGGAGGCGGGACGGCCAGAGCACCCTCAGAACGAGAAGAGCTTGGGAATGATGAGCAGGCACGGCAGCGCGTGCACGGAAGCGCGTGCGCGGCACGGTGCGTCCCAGTCGGGGTCCGCGGCCAAGACCCAGAAGCCGAGCCGAGGGCAGAGAGGGCAGATGGGAGGCGCGGGAACGCAGCGCGGGGGGGGCGCAAGGACTGTGGACTCCACGCGCTTTGGTAGACTGGGGAAAGGAAGAGGAAAGGCAGGAAGGTCACATGCCATCGACCCCTCTCACCAATTCGAATGCGTGGCACAGTACTGGAAGCGGGAGGGGCGCAAGGAGCAAGAACCAGATGTGCTAGGGACAGGGCGAGAGAGCGCCCAAGGTGGGGCCGAAACCACGCCGCGCGCAGAAGGAGCACCATCAGCCTACACGCCGACTTGCTGTCCCCTGGGGCCTCTTGAGGCCTCTCGGGGCCATGCTGAGGGCACTGTAGGGCCACATTGCGCGATCTTTGGGGGGGGCACCTCGGGGCCTCTCAGGACCACCTTGGGGCCATATTGGGGTGCATCTGGGTGCCAATGGCGGCCGTCTCAAAGCCGTACAAGGCTGACAGTCTACGTTCATCCTGGCTGTCCAAGGGAGCGAACTTGAAAGGAATGCCTCGTGCCCCACGCCATCTCCCTTCCCTCCCTCGGCCACCCCCTTTCCCTCGCCTGCCATCCCTCCCTCCATCCCCCCTCCCCCTCCTGTCATCCCTGCTCGCCCTTCTTCCCTCCCCATCCGCTCCCCCCGCCTTCCCAGCCTCCTCCCCTTTCATCCCCTTCCAACCTGCCTCCCTCCCTCCCCCCCTTCACCCTCTCCCTGTTCCCCCCGCCCCCCACGTCACCCTCTCCGAGTTTCCCTCCTCTCCTCCCTCCTCCTGGTTCTCCTCCTCCTCCTCTCCTCCTCCCTCCTCCTCTCCTCCTCGTCCTCCCCCTCCTCCTCCTCCTCCTCCTCCTCCTCCTCCTCCTCCTCCTCCTCCTCCTCCTCCCTCTCCTCCTCCTCCTCCTCCTCTTCTTCTTCGTCCTCCTCCTCTTATTATAATTATTAATATTATTAATAGTAGTATTATTATTATTATGATTAGTATTAGTATTAGTATCATTATTATTATTATTATTATTATTATTAGTATTATTATTAGTAGTAGTATTATTGTTATTATTATTATTATTATTATTATTATTATGAGTATTCCTCCTCCTCCTCCTCCTCTTCTTCTTCCTACTCTTCTTCTTCTTCTTCTTCTTCCTCCTCCTCCTCCTCCTCCTCCTCCTCGTCCGTATCCTCCTCCTCCTCCTCATCCTTCTCCTCCTCCTCGTCCGCATCATCCTCCTCCTCCTCCTCCTCCTCTCCTCCTCATCCTCCTCCTCATCCTCATCCTCATCCTCATCCTCATCCCCCTGATCAATCTCATCATCATCATCATCATCATCATCATCATCATCATCATCATCATCATCATCAGCATCATCATCATCATCATCATCCTCATCATCATCATCATATTCATCTTCATCATCATCATCATCATCATCATCATCATCATCATTATCATTATCAGCATCATCATCATCAGCAGCAGCATCATCATTTGCATCATCAGCATCATCGTCATCATCATCATCATCATCATAATCAGCATCATCATCATCATCATCAGCATCATCAGCATCATCATCAGCATCAGCAGCAGCAGCATCATCATTATCATCATCAACATCATCAACATCATCATCAGCATCATCATCAGCAGCATCATCATCAGCAACAGCATCATCATCATCAGCACCATCATCATCATCAGCATCATAATCGACATCACCATCATCACCATCACCGTCACCATCATCATCACCATCATCATCATCAGCATCATCATCATCGTCATCATCATCATATCAGCATCTTCATCATCATCATCATCCTCATCATCATCATCAGCAGCATCAGCATCATCGTCTTCATCATCATCATCGACATACTCATCATTGGCATCATCATCATCATCAGCATCATCATCGTCATCAGTATCATCGTCATCACCATCATCCTCATCAGTATCAACATCGTCAGCATCGTCATCATCATCAACACCAACATCAGCATCATCAGCATCCTCATAATCATCAATAAACATAATAATAAGAATCATCATCATCAGCAGCATCATCATCTGTCTCAGTGTCATCATCATCATCATCATCGTCCTCATCCTCAGTATCATCATCAGCAGCATCATCGACCGCTGCATCGTCAGCATCATCAGCATCATCATCAGCAGCAGCATGAGAATCGGCATCATCATCATCAGAATCGTGATCATCATCATCTTCATCCTCATCATCATCATCATCAGAATCACCATCATCATCATCATCAGCATCATCATCAGCATCATCAGCAGCATCACCATCATAAGCATCATCATCAGCAGCATAATCATCAGCATCCTCATCAGCAGCAGCATCATAATCAATATCATCATCGTCAGCATCAGCAACATCATCATCATCATCATCATCACCATCATCCTCATCATCATCATCATCATCGTCATCGTCATCATCCTCATCATCATAACTACCACCACCACCCCTATCATCATCATCATCAGCATCATCAGCATCAGCATTATCATCATCATCATCATCCTCATCCTCATCCCCATCACTAATCCTCATCCTAATCCTCATCCTCCTTTTCGCCCTCCTCCCCATTCTTCTCCACCACCTCCTCCTCCTGTTAACACCTCCTCCTCATCATTTTTCTCCTCCTCCTCGTCGTCCTCCTCCTCCTCCACCTCCTCCTTCTCCGCCTCCTCCTCCTCAGCCTCCTCCTCCTTCTCATCCTCTTCTCATGCGTCTTATTGCTATGTGTTGGAGTATTAGTAGTGTTAGTATTGTTGCTTTTACTCGAGTTGATATTAACAGCATCATTGCTTTTACTATTAGTATTGTCATTGCTATTAGAATCCCTCGTTTTAGCCTTCGTTTTGTTAGCATAAAGGTTAAGTTCCTTCTCCCTATCATTCTTAGTAGTATGCTTACGACTATTTGTATCAGTCGCATGCTCCTTCTTCATGGTGTGATTATTCGTAGTAGCCTTTGCACTCTGGTTCGCAAAATCAGTATTACACGTATAATGGTTTGTCTGATTCTGAGTATTAGTATTAGTCGGTGCCTTTCTCTTGTGGTAATACTACTTCTGACACATTCTTAATAAGATTGTCACTCGTGTTCGTCGTTGTATTATTGGTATGATTAGCATTCGCCTTAGTCTTCTTATTAGTACTCGTCTTATTCGCAGTCTTCTTAAAATTTTCATTGGTAGTAATATTACGATTAGTCATCTGATGACGATTAGAAACAGTATTGTGAGTGTTCTGTTGTGTCGTATTATCACTATCCTTGCTGCGTATGATATTTGCATAAGTGATACCGGTACTATTAATAATACTCGTACTAATATTAATGATGATCGTCTTATTGGTTTCCGTTTTCTGGTTATGCGTCTGCTTCTGCGTATGCGCTTCTGCTTCTGCTTGTGCTTATGCAGATGCGTATGTTTTCTCTGATTCGTAGTACCGTTGTTCTTATTAGCCATATGATTCGTCTTCTTCTTAGCAATATGATGACTATTATTGTGAGTAATCGTATGATTGATTTATAACCTTCGCATTGTTAGCAATATAATGATTCCTCCACTTCTTCCTCCTCCTCGTCATCCTCTTCCTCCTACTCCGCCTCCTTTTCCTCCTCCTCCTCCTCCTGCTCCTCTTCCGCCTCCGCCTCCGCCTCCGCCTCCGCCTCCGCCTCTTCCTCCGCCTCCGCCTCCGCCACCGCCTCCGCCTCCGCCTCCGCCTCCGCTTCCGCCTCCGCCTCCGCTTCCGCCGCATCCTCCTACTCCTCCTCCTCCTCCTCCTCCTCCTCCTCCTCCTCCTCCTCCTCTCCCTCCGCCTCCTCCTCCTCGTCCTCCTCCTCCTCCCTCCTTTTCTTCCTCCTCATCCTCCTCCTGTTCCTCCTCCTCCCTCCTCCTCCTCCCCCTCCTCCTCCTCCGCATCCTCTTCCTCCTCCTCCTTCCTCCTCCTCCTCCTCCTCCTCCTCCTCCTCCTCCTCCTCCTCCTCCTCCTCCTCCTCCTCTTTCTCGTCCTCCTCCTCCTCTTCCTCCTCTTTCTCCTCAACCTCATCC